TTAGATTCTCTCACACACGTATTTTCCAAAGCCAGCTTGGTTCCCACAATGGTTTAATGAAGGCTGGCATAATGTGGCAGACATTATAGCTGGATCCTATGGAAGGACTTTGATACCCAGATAAAAGGAGGTTTTCTAGTCTTTCAAGCCATGGTTATCTTAGTTCACTCCCCCAGTTCTCACAGGTAAGATGACTTAACAGCATCGGACAGCATGGGATGACAGCATGAGCATAAAAGAGATGACAATCTTTTGTGTGGAGAACATGTCTATTTGTGCTGTGTCTGAAGAAGCCTCACACCAAAATAAATATCCAAAGTGCCACAATATTTTGCTTTCTCTCATTTGTTTTCCTTCAGTTTTTCAAACATGCGGAGACAGACTAACACAGTTACTTCTCTGTTACTGAAATGCCAAAAGAATAACTTCTGGTATGTTTCCAAGGGGAAACTTGATTCACAGAAAATGCTGCAACTGTTTGCAGCATTTTTCACATTTCCTGCCTCACAGAACTCATTCCAAGTTGGTTTGTATGCAACGAAACCCTTATCAATGACAGAGAATTGTGGAAACATTTCAGGATGGGGGAAGGGCACTCAAAACATGGGTCAGAAATGCTGGCTTTCACTATAGCTTTGCAAGAGCTGAGAATGCAACCTGGGATACATGCCAAGAATTATGCTGCAGCTGCTGCACAAATAGTTAGGGTGGGTTGTACAAGATGTCTTTCAGGAAAGCTTGCTAGCTGTTATTCTTTTTATTGTGGAATCTCTTCAAGGTCTCCAAAGAATGTCCCAAGGGTTTCAAATATATATTCTGGAAAACACTGGCATAGTGGACAATAACTTGCGAAGCATCCTCGTGATAGAATGAATCAGTAGCCTGTATATCCCTCATATGGCCTTCTTTTTGTTTGTTCTCTGAGCCTAGAAAAATAGAATTATTCTACTGAAATGTAAAACATGGTGAGGTCAACACACATGAATATCAACTTAATTCAGACTATGCTTGCCCATGGAAAAATGTCCTCTATCTAGATCCTGCAACCAGCAGGGCGTGAAGTGTTCCCCTCATGTCCACCATCAGGTATCCAAAAGCACAGTGACTGTAAACATGGACTGCAGTCACCTTTTTGAAGGGGGCTCCCCCAAAACAACAATGAACCTTCTGCTGGCTCCCAGATTATTAATTTAACATGATGTAATGGAGAGTTAAAAATAGACATCCCCTTGTACTTTACTGTTAATCCAGCCCCAAGTATGGCCACATCCTTGGTGTGGGATGTCATGAATCCGGTGTCAAGAGGTCTGTTAAAGCTAAGCGTAACAACTAGAAACATAAAACAAAGAAAAAGAAAAAGAAAAGACAATTCATGAGACATACTTCTTTGCCCTTCAAAGCATCACTCTTTGCCAAGTCTATTAATAAAGAAAAGACAATTCATGAGACATACTTCCTTGCCCTTCAAAGCATCAAACACTCTTTGCCAAGTCTATTAAATACCAAGGAGAAATAACCTCAGAACAATTTATACGTTTGACTGTAGGGACTGTGTTCTTTTCTTTGAATGCCTCATTTCTTTTTCTGTAAACAGTGCCATGATGTCCTTGACCAAAAAGCGCTACTTTTGTCTCATCTATCCACAGTACGTTCTCCCAGAAGGATTGCAGGTTTGTCACATAACGTTTTATCATACTCCAGTCTTGCTTTTTTATGCCTTTGTGTCAGCAGTGGTGTCCTGAGTCTCCTACAACAGCTTCCCTTTTCAGATGGTGACTGATAGTGCAAGCTGACACTGTTGTACCATGTGTCTGCAGATCAGCTTGAATTTGTTGGGAAGTTAATCTGGGTTCTGTATCCACCATTTGAACAGCCCTTTATTGTAATGTTTCAGTAATTTTGCTCTTCTGTCCAAATCCAGGGAGGTTAGCTACAGTGCCATGGGCTGTAAATCTCTTGATAATATTGCACACAGTGGACACAGGAACTATAGATCTCTGGAGATGGACTTGTAGCCTTCAGATTCTCGATGTTTTTCCACAATTTTTTCTCTCAAATCCACAGACAACTCTTTACCCTTAATTCTTTTATCCATGCTCAGTGTCACATACAACACAAAGGTTGAATCAACTTTTCTCCATCTTTGTCGTCGTTTAGTCGTGTCCGACGTGACCTCATTGACCAGAGCGCGCCAGGCCCTCCTGTCTTCCACTGTCTCCCGGAGTTGTGTCAAATTCATGTTGGTAGCTTCGATGACACTGCCCAACCATCTCATCCTCTGTCGTCTCCTTCTCCTCTTGCCTTCACACTTTCCCAACATCAAGGTCTTTTCCAAGGAGTCTTCTCTTCTCATGAGATGGCCAAAGTAATGGAGCCTCAGCTTCAGGATCTGTCCTTCCAGTGAGCACTCAGGGTTGATCTCCTTCAAAAATGGATAGGTTTGTTCTCCTTGCAGTCCAGGGGACTCTTAAGAGCCTCCTCCAGCACCACAATTCAAAGGCATCAATTCTTTGGCGGTCAGCTTTCTTT